CAGGTGCCTGAACGTGTCTCTTTGCCACCAGTTGCACTTTCTAACCCCTCTTCACCCCTCCTGACCCAACAGGTAGGGGGTCAGGGTCACATTTGGCACCGCCTGCCCAAGGGTTTCCACTCAGGAGAGCTGCCCATGAGGTTTGTGACCCCTTGGGCTCTATCCCTGCTGGAGCTCCCACCCAAAAGAAGGTGTCCCTGCACCCATGGGTGCCTTGGGTGCAAAGTCTGCTCCTAATTAATGCTCCAGATCTCACCACCAACACATGAAACCCAAGTGCTATGTTATTGCTGTTTCTTACAACCCAGATGAATTCCTTTTTTTTTTTCCTTTCTCTTTAAACCACATCTTAATTTTTTTCCTAACTGTCACAGACTTGATTTCTCCACTCTCTTCAAGAAAAGAACCCCCCAAACCCATCACCCAAAGCACAGCAAAGCCCCTTCCTTTGTCCTCTAAGGGACAGCGACACCAAAGGGACCTCACCCAGCACTTTCGGGGGGGAGGAAAACTAAGGTAAAAATATACATGTAGTTATTGTGAGCTGCTTGTAAAAGGAACAATGGGCATTTATTACTACATGTCACCCTGCTAATGGCCTGCAACAGAGTGAGAGATAAAACATTTACCAACCCCAACGCCACTGATTACGCTCAGAGCGGAGACGCGCCGGGAGTTACGAGGCATCCCAGTTAATATTTACCACTAAGAAACAAGGAGCTCAAAAGCCCAGAGTGTCATTCCACACACACCCCTGCAGCCTTTAACCCGGGGTCTAAGGTGCATCTCGGCCTGGCTGTCCTGCCAGCGGGCAGGACACAAGAACCTGCCAAGAATCTTTGGGCTCATCCCCATGGATCCCGCAGCACCGTCCCCGCGTCACACACACTGCACTCCTGCAGCTCATCACACCCCAAATTAACAATAGATTCCATTTGCTGGTTGAACCTGAAGAGTTTGAGCTAAAAAACAACTGCAGGATTAAAAAACCCCAAACAAAACAGCAGCAAGAGAGCAAAATCCATCTTCCCACTGAGCCAGGCAGCTGCGGTTGGTGAGCAGTCGCGGGGCTCTGGCTCCACACAGCCCTGCTGGCACTTTGGGAAGTCACTGGTGAATCCACCACGGGAGGAACCAGACAAAGAATTAAAGCTGGGGAGGGTGAATATATGCACACGTGCTACGAGGGAGCAATATCCACATGGATGTGTTACCCCCTCCTGGAAAAAAAAAAACCCACCACCGCTACAAGGAAGGAAATGCTGCTCCCGTTGCAAAGCTTTGGGCTTTTCAAGGGACAACCCTGGGAATTTCACCTTGGTATTTGTTTCAGCCCCAAGAGGCAGGAAATAGAAAAGGATACAAATCGATACAGGTTTGCCAAACGGTGACACAACTTCCCCAAAACATAAGCCCTGATTACAAAAAGATAGAAACAGACACAAATTTACCCAACGATACAAATTGACCAAAAAAAAAAAAAAATAATTAAAATGACACCGACTGATGGAAATTTCCCAGTTGCTCATTTCCTTTTCCTTTGCAACAGAAACAGGTGAGGCTGCAGCACCGGGGAGGCTGCTCATTTTCCTGAGGGAACCTTAATTCAGATTAAAGGTTCAGAGCCTCAGAGCCTGTGACCTGAAAGACTCTGAAACACCCACCAGGGAAAAACACTCCAGAAAGGGCCTTTTTGGGGTTTTTTTTGCAGGCAATCTGGATTTACATTTTATTTTATTTTATTTTTTGACACTGTGATCCAGTAGCAAGCAGAACGTCCTGGGAAATGTTGCAGGCAGGAGGAAAAGGGGCCAAGAGGAACCCAGAGGAAGGTCCTTTCCTGAACACCTGCCAAAGGGAGCGGCGGTGGCAGAGCCTGGGAGAAGCAGCAGGAGCTGGGATGGGAGGCCAAGAGCCATGGTGCCAGGCAGGATGCTCCTGACCCCCATTCCTGCATCCACACGCTCACAGGTGTTGATCCCAACTCCATCAGCTTGCCCAAAACGGAGCATTTTAAAAGAAAACCTTTTTTTCCCCCCCCTGTACATCTCACGTGTCTGATGAGAACTCACTGCGCTTTATCAGCAAAAAACAAAACCCACAGCCCTGCTCTTTTTCATGATGTCACAGCATTTTTGGAAGTGAAACTCTTGATGCTTTTGAAGAGCACACCTTGTCCCCTGGCTTTAGGGACACTGAGGCTTCCCTGGCTCCATTGTTCCCCCCACTGCAGCACCCACAGCTCCCTCGAGGGCTGGAAAAGGAGGTCAGGGAGGTTGTGGCCCCTCAGAGTCCTCACCCACAGCGACTGAATTCTGGGTTTTTTCCAGGAAAAAGAGCATCAGAGCCATCTCCCCCAGCCTTTTCACCAGCCCTTCTGTGGCCAATTTGCAAACAAAGCAGCTCGGATTTGTGGAAATCACATCCCATCTCTGCTGCAAGAGATGAATGGGAGGTAATTTTTGACAGATTTCTCTTATTTATTTATTTTTCTAAACACTACCAATTTCTAACTGCAACCGTCCTGGTTTCCTCCCCTTCAGTCAAATCACAGGATACAGGATTACATCTCATCATCCAGATTTCAGCTGCTCTGATGTGCTCTCCCCTCAGTTTATGCATTTTCACTTAAGT